AATAGGGAACTTACCTCTCTGTTGTACTTAGAAATATAGTTATAGAGTTCTGCCAGAGCGCTTGGGACATAAAACATTCCTGTAGGCATCTAGAAATAGAGGAAAATATTTAATAATTTGTCCATATAATGATTAACAACATGGAAAATAAAATTCACAGAGTTCAAAATCTGAATTAGAAAATTTATGTCGAATTGACATACAACATATATCCTGCAAGAAAGAATACAGTAATCAATCAATGAAATACAACACATAATATATATAATATATATATATATATATTGTGTGTATTTAGGCAGCATTTTTTCATTCATACATCTTTCATTAAATAATATAGACAAGTGTTGTCTATTTATTTTATATATATATATAAAAGGCTCAAACACTAATATTTCATTGTTATAATTTATTACATTGGAATCGTGTACATAGAGCTCTATCTGGATTTTATCCACTTGAAATATATATATATATATATATATATATATATATATTTTTTTTTTTTAATTTATTATTTTAAACATTATTTTATAAATGGTATTTGAGTAGAGGATGCATTTTTTCTAACAAGATTTCTCAATTATTCAGGCTGGTAGATGTAAATAAATAAATATATTGTTTAATAAAGAAATAAAAACAGAGCATCTATTCACATATGAGTATCAATTTATAAAATAATGTTGAAACAAATAAATTATATATATTTATATATATATATATATATATAAATGTGAATGCTTAAAAATATATGTGATCTGAAAATCCTATGACTGCATTGCTTGTACAGGAAGTAGCAGCAAAGATACTACTATGATTACCAACCTTGACAGAGTTTATTCATTCAGATATGGTATGGCTATTAAATAATAAAAAGGGATTGAATCTAAGTGCATATACACAAATCACATATTATACCCACTGGCAAGCATATCAAAAGCCTGGATGTTTCAAACCACTTGGATTTATGCATTGTTTAAAGTCAATGTGTTTTATTGAGATGTTGCAAAAATTGTTCGGAACAAAAACCGAGATAACATTTGTAATTTTTCATAAAATTATACGAAATTGCTACCAAATTTTTGGGCACATTAACTGTAGATTAAGGGGCAGAATGCTTGTCACGTTTATATGTGTTTGAATGGTAAAAAAAAAAAATTCTGAGAAAAAGTTGAGAGGATGTCAATCATTATGAATTAGTAGATACTCTTGCATGTTAAAAACCAACAAGGCTGTTAGAAAAAAAAAAAAATCAAGGAAATAATTCAAAATGATCGATGACTCAACATCAGAATAATTTCAGAAATGGTCTTTATTGGTAAAGAGACTCTTAGACAAAAAACTTCAAATTAATGCATTACTGGGCTGGGAAGTGCAAACTCATTCACAGTGAAAACAGGATGAACAATAAATGAGCAATATTAAGTAAGAATGATATGATTCTTGTTCTGTTATACATCCCTAGAAATGTATAACAGAACAAGAACAACCTACCCCATAGATTAAATAAAGTGTTTAGTTTAAAATTTCCTGAATGTTACCTGGATTGATAATTAGTTGATGAAGGCCACTTAATGACAACAAAGGTAAGGTAAGGACAATAGTCTAAATGTAAATAATAAACCCCCCTATCCAAAGAATTCAGAACAACTAAGCTTATGCAAGTTTGAAAATCAAATCCATGAACATTTCAATCCAATTTTTTATTTTAATCATTTCACCCCAAGCAAGGCAACCAAGTCTTGCTTGGAGTGAACTACAAGGTTTGTGGGGAGGTTACTGAGTGTGAAAGAATAGAAGAATAAGAAAAAAAGGATTAATAAAAGAACAGGAATTAAGAAGACAGAAGATAATAATTGACATTGCATTTAAATTTTTGAAGATTAAAGTTCACTGGAAAGCAAGAAACTGTAAAAGAGCTCCACAAGTGAGAATTGCAAGAGAAGAAACTGTTAGCATAGAACTTACAGTTACAGCTAGCCATTTTATGCATTGTTGAAAGTCAACATATTTTACTGAGATATCACAAAAATGTTCAGTTTGAAAAATTGAGCAACAAATCAGTTTTTGTAAAATTAGACAAAATCATGACCAAATTGTTTGTATGCTAACTGTAGAATAAAGATTGGTCACATGATACAAAAAAAAAATTGTTTCAGTTGAGAGGACAGTGTTAATCATTATGACTAAGTAAATAATCATGTATGTTGAAAACCAATTATGATGGTAAAAACATTCAAAAACATTTGTTTGTACCAGAATCCATCTTACACATTTATAAATCTACCATTCGTCCGTGCATTGAATATTGCTGCCATATCTGGTCTGGTGCTCCTGCTGCACATCACAAGATTCTCAATAAAATCCAAAGAACAGTCTGTAATATAATCAGTCCTGACCTGGCATCTTGACTTTAGTCACTTTCACACTGCCATGATATGGCTTCCCTACGTTTTTTCTGCAAATATTTTCATGGCAGTTGCTCTAATGATCTTTTCTCTTTGGCACCTTGATCGCATGAATTTAAGCATACCACTTGATTGTAAAACAGGCCTCATTGTTTTTACTGTTGAAATAACTAGATATAACCATAAGTTCTATTCTAGTAGTTTCTTTTCTCACACTTCTTTCCTGTGGAACTTCCTTCTGGTTTCTGGCTTCCCTGTCACCCACAATCTTCAAAATGCAGAAATCATTTGCCATTCTCTGTCTTTCTGAAGTCTTCTCATTCCCTTTCACTCCAAGTAATCCCTTGTGCTCTAGTGGCTTTACTGCCTTGTTTGGGGTGAAATGATAAAAAAAAAAAAAAAAAAATGACCAACAACTCAATGTTAGAATAATTGCAGATATGGCCATTATTGGTAAATATACTCTTTAGCTTATGCACTATTGGATTCCTCAACAGACTCTTTTTATGGCATGCCATTTCATATGTAAGAAAATTATGATGACTTCAAATAATTGTTGAGGCTTTGTTAGGGCTAGAAATAAAGACACAAAGAGAGGAATGAGTTAAACAAATATATTAGCAGAAACAGTAATACAAATATATACAAGTGAGAGTGTTACAGCAAGAATGTTCAGTCCGACTGTCAGAGCTGACTGCTGGAAACTTCCCTCTCTCTAAAAAGGCAGTACCTGCTCCTATTTATAGCTTGTCCATGCATGCGTAGGTAAATTACTATAACAATAATGTATATAGTGAACTAAAGATGTAAACAGATTGAAAGTTCCATGAAGTGTTTAAGCTTGCCCATTGGTCAATGAATGCCATGTGCTTTATGTTGATGAACTCTCATTCATCATATATAAGCTCAGCTTCATTATTTAAGAGGCATGTCTCATACATTACTTGTATGAGCTGTTACCTTGATTATCAACCTTGGCAATGTATACCATGTGATTTATTCATGTATACAGGGATTTGACTTACATCAGTCCAGTCTCATTATTTAATAGCCACACCTCATAAACATACAGGTATGCTTTACTTGTTAATCAGATAAGGATTATCTATAATCCTATTTCTTGAAATTAATTTTATTCTCGAAATCTACATTTCAAATCAAATCTCTAAACCAAGATCATCAGAATGCCAAGATCAACCTTTCATGGCAATACCGGAGTAGGTTGGGGTGGTGACAATATGAGGGTTATTTAGCAATGTCCATTTTCTTTCCAAGTAATATGTGACAGGTTATATTGATTTAAATGATTGTAGCAGCAGACAGAAATCGCGTTTCTGTTGCTCATTAATTTGTGCATCTTCTGATCTGACATAATTTTTTATTCTTTCATACGCCAACAATACTGAAATGTTTGAATCTTCCTTCAAAGATGGAGTCAAGTTTTCCAAACACAACCTCCCTAAACCATGTTTCGCTTTTAGGTCTTCTAGCAACATTACTCTTTCCTTAGCTTTTACTGTCAATGTGAGGAGGACAGTAAAACACATTTTCGACTTTCCCAGTAAGACGTTTTTTTTTTTTTAATCAGTATCACCCCATACAAGACAGTTATGCCACTAAGACACAAGAGGTTACAATGTGTGGAAAATTTAGGAACAGAAACATTAATAATGAGCTGAAAGAGGAAAGAGTAATCAGGATGTTATATTCCATGCTAATAGGAATATATACTTGAAAACAAGATGTATAAAATAAGTAAAGGTTTATTGTAAAAATAAAATACAATAAGAATAAAAGTAACAGTTATGCACAAGGTCATCGCATGTCAATCCAGTAGTGAGTGCTACTATTGGAAGGTTGGTAGTTCTCGCGTAAGTCTGAGTGGTACTCAACAGATCCCAGTCTGTATGTTGACTTACAGATACTTATAGGTAGTTACTACCTATAGTGTAGTCACACATGGGGGTGACAGGTTATTCCATTACATCACAGGAGGACAGTAGATAGCAACTGACATTGTATTTAAATTATTGCAGATTAAAGTTGGCTGGAAAGCATCTAGCTGGAATGGAATTCCTCCATCGAGAAGTACGAGTAAAGGAACTTTTAGCATAGAATTTACGATTACATCTAGCCAGCTTAATGGTATATTGATGAGATCTCAATGCCAGTCTAGTACTATTTACTATTAAAGCTAAATATTTTCCAGAATATCATTTCTTTTTTTCTCAATGCTGTATACTTCTCTCGTACAAACAGTAGCAGATTTATCTATTTGGTCGATGTTATTTTTTTTAAAAAACTACACATTGCTACCAGTTTGTTAGTCTTCTGTCTCTTTTTGAGCCAAGGCACAGTTTATGGGAATATATGGAAGAAGATAATGGATGACTATAGACTTGAACAGGTTAAGATTGTAGTGATTGGATTAGCATTCTCTTGGGAGTCTGTTCAGCATAGCAGTGGTTCATTGGAAGAAGATGCTCAAGTGGAAATTACATTTCAGCAATAGAATATGAAGGAAATGACAATGGTCTACTACAATGTGTGTGGTATGGCAGGTCTTAGCTGTGAAGGTTAATTAATTGGCAATGTCTGTCTCCTCTCCAAGTACAATCTGACAGGCTGTATTGATTCAAATGATTGTAGTAGAAGAGATTAAGTTGATCTCTCTTGGCAGA